CTCTTGCAAATCCATTATGTTTATTCACTTGAAACTATTCTTTTTTTCTTTTGACATACCAAATCTGAATCGCATTTAAGACACATAACTTCTTTCTTTGATAAAATGAAATCACATTATTTTATCGAGATTCTTAGTTAAAAACATGACAGACTTGATTTTAGTGGTAGGGGATCATGTCAAAGCATTACTTCTGATCTGAGTCTTGGTTGTCATTGGTTGGAAACTGCACTGGGTATATTCACCCATATAGTTACTCTATTTACAAGACAGTTTTTTTCTTCTTTACATTCTGGGTTTATGCTTCATTAGATACATCCGAATTTGATGAAGTTAGATCAATTTTTATAAATTTATTTACATTCCACTTCTTAGCCCTCAGTGTATTTCAAATGTTTGACTTTTAATGTGCTATACTTAATCAAGTCCACTGATTCTGTGTGACTGTTTCTAAGACTCATTGTGTGAATAGATGTACAAACTCTTAATGTTCTTATTTTTCCATAAGGCAAAAATTACCACTTTGGCACCAGGTATGCAGGATTCATACATATTAAATGAAAATATACATAGTTCTTCTGAAAAGACCTTGTTTAACAAACAAAGCACAGCTTCTACAGAAATATAAAGGCTTTTATACCTTTTTTAAACTTTAAGTTTTTTAAAAATTTTTTTCTGACATTTGGATGTGGGCATTTAGTTTTATAAGTTTTCCTCTTAACACTGCCTTAGCTATGTCCCAGAGAATCTGGTAGGTTGTATCTTTATTCTTGTTAGTTTCAAAGAACTTATTGATTTCTGCCTTAATTTCATTATTTACCCAAAAGTCATTCAGGAGCAGGTTATTCAAATTCCATGTAATTGCATGGCTTTTGAATGAATTTCTTAGTCTTGATTTCTAATTTGATTGTACTCTGGTCTGAGAGATTGTTTGTTAGGATTTCCGTTCTTTTGCATATTCTAAGGAGTGTTTTACTTCTGATTATGTGATTTATTTTAGAGTGTGTGCCTTATAGCAATGAGAAGAATATATAGTTTGTTGTTTTGGGGTGGAGAGTTCTATAGATATCTATCAGGTCTATTTGACTAACTGCAGAGATCATGTCCTGAATACATTTATTAATTTTCTGTCTCAATTATCTAACATTGTCAATGGAGTGTTAAAATTTCCCACTATTATTGCATGGAGGTCTAAGTCTCTTTGAAAGTCTCTAAGAACTTGCTTTATGAATCGGTTACTCCTGTGTTGGGTGCATATATATTTAGGAGAGTTAGATCTTCTTGTTGAATTAAACCATTTACCTTTATGTAATACCCTTCGTTTGTCCTTTTTGATCTCTGTAGGTTTAAAGTCTGTCTGTTTTGTCTGAAACTAGGATTGCAATCTCTGCTTTTTTCTCTTTTCCATTTACTTGATAGATTTTTCTTCATTGTTTTATTTTGTGCCTATGTGTGTCACTGCATATGAGATAGGTCTCTTGAAGACAGCAGACCAATAGGTCTTGGTTCTTTATCTGGCTTGCCATTCTGTGTCTTTAAATTGGAGCATTCAGCCTATTTACATTCAAGGTTAGTATTGATATGTGTGGATTTGTTCCTGTCATTATGATGCTAGCTGGTTATTTTGCAGACTTGTGGTTGTTTCATAGTGTCACTGGCCTGTCTTTGTACTTTAGTGAGTTTTTGTAGTTGCTGGTAATAGTCTTTTCTCTCCATATTTAGTGCTTCCTTCAGGAGCTCTATTAAAGTGGGTCTGCTGGTAATGAATTCCCTGCGCATTTGCTTGTCAGAAAAGGATCTTATTTCTCCTTTGCTTATGAAGCTTTGTTTGGTTGGACATGAAATTATTTGTTGGAATTTCTTTTTTTTTAAGATGTTGAATATAAGTCCCCAATCTCTTCTGGCTTATAGGGTTTCCATTGACAGGTCCACTGTTAGTCTGATAGGCTTCTATTTGTAGGTGATCTGACCTTTCTTTCTAGCTGCCTTGACATTTTTTCTTCCATTGCAACCTTGGAGAATCTAATGATTTTGTGTCTTGGGGATGATCTTCTCATGGAGTATCTTACTGGGGTCCTCCTGTGTTTCTTGCATTTTAATCTTGGCTTATCTAGCTAGGTTGGCAAAATTTTCATGGATGATACACTGAAATATGTTTTCCAAGTTGGTTCCATTCACCCTTTTCTCTGTCAGGGACATCAGTGAGTTATAGATTTGGTCTCTTGACATAATCTCATATATCTGGGAGGTTTTGTTCACTTCTTTTCATTCTTCTTCTTCTTTTTTTTTTTTTTTTTTTTTTTTTGCTATTCTTGTCTGACTGTCTTATTTCAGAAAGCCAGTTGCCCAGCTCTGAGATTCTTTCCTCTGCTTTATCTATTCTATTAATACTTATAATTTAATTATAGAATTCTTATAGTGTGTTTTTCAGCTCTATCAGGTTGGTTACATTATTGTCTATGCTGGTATTTTGTCTGTCAGCTCCCCCATTGTTTTATCATTATTTTTTTGCTTCTTTGGATTGGGTTTGAAGATACTTCTGTAGCTCAGTGATCTTTGTTCCTATCAGTATTCTGAATTCTATTTCTGTCATTTCAGCCATCTCATCCTGGTTCAGAACCCTTGCTGGAGAGGTGCTGCACTCATTTGGAGGAAAGAAGGCACTCTGAATTTTTGAGCCATCAGGGTTCTTGCACTGATTCTTTCGCATCTCTGTGGGCTTATCTACCTTTAATCTTTGAGGTTACTGACCTTTGGAATTTTTTTTAATTCTATTTGATGACTTTGAGGGTTTGATTATGGTATAAGGTGAATTCAGCGGACTGCTTTGTTTCTGAAAGATTTTAGGGGACTAATGCTCAGTTCCTAACTCCTGGACTATGTTCTTTAACTCTGGGGGACTTATACTAGGTCCTGAATTTGTTCTCTGGCTCCTTGAGGTTAGAAATCCACTGTACTGAGGTGAGCAAGGTGCCCCAGACCGCTGGTCACTACACTCTGATGGGTGGTGTCAGCCAAAGCATTTTATAGTGCAGTGACAGCAGGATCCATCTTCATTAGCATGTGCCAGCAGCCATGGTAGCAGCAGCTGTGGTGGCGTGCTAGTGGGTGGGAGTTGCCTGTCTCCCTTTGGGCATTCTCCACAGAGGCAGAGGCAATGCAGCTGGTGAGGGCTGGGAGTCCCTGCTGGTGACTGTCTGAACAGTCCACTAGAGGTGGTGTTGGCTTGGGGGTGGGCTACTGGTAGGCTCAGCTCTGGCTGCCTTTTCTGTGCTCCAAAGGCAGGCGTGGTCACTGGGGGTAGGGAAATTATCCACTGTTTTCTGCACAGTGCTAGTGCAATGGCAGGGTACTTGTGAGGGTGGGCTGCCAAGGCTCTGTCTGCAATGGTGGTCATCGGGGGGAAGGGGAACAGGCTACTCTCCCATGAACTGGTGGAGCAAAGAAAGCAAAACTCATCTGGGCAAATATGCACCAGTAAAGTGATGTGGGGAGTTGCCATGGGCCTGGGACAAGCTGCAGTGTGGGGAGGGCACATGCAGGTTGGTGTATGGACTTAGGGGCTGACCTGATGAAGCTCTCTGTGGGTAGGCATGGCATGCCAGTGCAGAAGGTATGGTGTGGGCCCACCAAGTACTCCATACTGCCCTGCAAGCAGGTGTGGCCCGTCTGGGGCCCTGGGACAAGCCAGCAGATCAAGAGATGCTCAGGTTAGACAAGTCTTGTCTGACTGGCAAGACTTCCCTGCAGAGTTTAGTTCTCCTAGTGCTAAAGTATCCTATACGAGAAAGTCAAGCCCAGGGGAATGGCCATCCCAGGCCATGTTGTGCTATAGACCCTTCTGCACCAAACCCTCTGGGCTGCTCATCAGCTGGCTTGCTGCCCCTACCACTTCTCTAAGATGTCCCTGCCAACTTGAGTGTCCTTGGTGGTCAAGGAATTCTCCTCTTGCCAGGGTTCCAGAGGCCCTTGGTGGGAGTGGGTTGCTCCTTGTCAGTTCGGCTCACCTGTTCTCCTGGAGCCCTTGGGGGCCAGGAATGAGTCCGAGTGCATGGTAGCCTCATGCAGAGTTCCCTACATTTTCTCTATTCGGCCCAGCTTCTGTGTCTTCCCTGCATTCACTCTTGGTGCCTTCCCTTTGAAGACCTGTTAGGAGCATGCCAGGCATCTCAGTTTCTCAGTGGGAGCTGTTTCACCTGGCTGCATTTATTTGGGCATCTTGCCATCCCACTTTGGCTTTTATATCTTGAACATAATTTTGCAGCAGGGTAAATCATCCTCTTTCTTTGAGGTCTTTATTCCTACCTCTTATGATAAAACTTCTCTACAGAGAAGCCACACAACCCTCATAGCACACTCTCAGATCATACACATTGCAGAACTGGAACAATGGTAAGACTTATGATGGTTTTGATAACCTTGTCCAATATTATCTTGAAAAAACAATTTCTAGTTTTTATTAATCATGATGGTTTTAATCCAAGTGTTTCTCTTTATTTCATTTTTATATCCCATTAAAATATCATAAAAGGAATAAGCAAGAAAATAATAAGGCTATAAGGATAAAGAAAACTGGAGAGGAAAACAGCAGTAGGTGAAGCATGGCCTCAGTTGGAAGAGTGATGACTGACATAGCAGAGGAAGCTGAAGCCTAAGAACATACAGGATAAATAATAAGAAGAGGTTGATACCTCTTGCTTCATCCTGGAAAATGTCAGAAATTGAAGAAGCCTGGGCAACATAGGGAGACTACCATCTCTTAAAAAAAATTTAACTGGGTGTGGGTGTGGTGCTGCATGTCTATAGTTCCAGCTACTTGTTGGGGCTGGGAGGGAGTCATGCCACTGCAGTCCAGCCTGCAGTCTCAAAAAAAAAAAAAGAAAAGAAAAGAAAAGGAAATGGAAGAACCAGTGAAATATGGATGAACGCACTGGGCTGAATAGAAAGATAATTATATGTTAATTAATGAAATTAATATATAAGTTATTTGCCAGTCTTACCTTTTGCAAGCAGCAATCTTTTTTCTGATCTCTGAAAAAAAGTGGAGGTTTATTTTTAGGAAAAATGGAAACAGAGTCTCAAGGCTCTAGGGCACACAACATAGGTGAGGTCAAAGGTAAAACAACATAATCAAAACAGGGAAGTTTCAACAAATTATGAGACCCTCAGCAACCCTTTCTCCCTGTCCTCAAAACGTCAGTACCAAGGTTTATGATTTCCCAGGCAGAGGAAAATAAAATTATTCTCTAGACTAATAGTGATGCAGGAATTTTCTGTCACTTTGCCAGCTGGGACCTCTGGCTGGCAACAACCCCCAACCCCACTGGGCCTAACTCAGCCCCAGGCCTGCCACTGAAGGTGCCCTGCCTACTTGGCCTGCCCAGACCAAGTCTGGCTTGCAGACCAGCTCAGCCCATGGCTGGTCACGCCCCAGCTCACCTGTATTATAGCTTGTGTACCTGTGTTCAGCAGTTCCTGAGCTCTTGTCCTGCATCCAAGAAGAATGGGGATATGCTGAAAGTTGAAGGGTGAGGATGGACAGAGAAAAATTTTAATGAGTGACACAACAGCTCTCAGTGGAGAGGAGATGAGGGGACATGGGGTCCCCCGCCCCCCACAGTCAGGTGTATTTTATTTTATTTTATTTTATTTTATTTTATTTTATTTTATTTCTCTCTGTGGCTGGGTCTGGGGCTTTTTACGAACTCAGAATGGGGAGTGGGTGCTGATTTGTTTGTCAGTATGCAAAAAAAGTTTAAAGCAAAGACACCAATCAAAGGTAGGGATGGCAGTGTAGAAAACCAAATTAGGAAAGGGTAGGTATATGTAAAATAGGTGAAGAGTGGGGATCAGTCAGAGGAAAGTGTGCCAAACAGGAAGACAGGTTTTCAATCTGGTCTGAGGATTTAACTTGTAGCTTGGCCTTCAGGCTTTAAACTCTCTTTGGTTTGGAGGTGGGGTTTTACCCGGGCCCCTCCCCATCTGCGTAGGCACTTGACTGCCTCCAGTCACTATCGATTCCCTGCTCTGAAGAGGTACTTCTAACTGCTGTTAGAATAGGGATGATGACCGATCATAACTGCTTCCTGCTGACAAAGGGCACTCTTTTGGGAAGATGGCAACTAGATCTCCCTCAGTCTTACCTAAGGGTCTCTTAAAGGGAACCATCATGCGAGGCTCTGGTTGCACAACCATTTGGAGTTTGATGGCTAGAAGGTGAGAAGGACAAACCAGGTTATTAGACAACATGTATAAAAATGAAACAAGGGGGTAAAGACAGCTTAAAAATCCTGAGGCTGCCCACATGCCCTAATAATTGGTGGCTACAGTTATGCCTGCTAAGATTTGGGTGCATGGGGCTTGGCTTTGGTCAGCTTCTTTGGTCTTGTTTTCCCAAACAAGGAAACCTCCAGGTTATGGGCACCCTACTTACTCTTATCACCTGGCAGGATTTGCAGGATAATTGCCCAGAAGTAGAATACTGATCCAGCTTTTTTTTTTTTTTTTTTTTGAGACGGAGTCTCGCTCTGTCGCCCAGGCTGGAGTGCAGTGGCCGGATCTCAGCTCACTGCAAGCTCCGCCTCCCAGGTTTACGCCATTCTCCTGCCTCAGCCTCCCGAGTAGCTGGGACTACAGGCGCCCGCCACCTCGCCCGGCTATTTTTTTTTTGTATTTTTTAGTAGAGACGGGGTTTCACCGTGTTACACTACCCATACCTTTTGTTTCTTCTGAGCTGTAGCTGGAAATAAGTGGTTGGTTCACAGAAATAAGCAGCATTAGTTTAAAATGTAGGTAAAAACTTAAAAACAACTAACAAAACTAGATTTAATGACAAGTGCAAGGTAAGTTTTGAAACATAATTTTTCTCTCTTCAGTCCTCATTTTTTTAGGGTCTTAGTAACGAATTCTTTAGCTACATTGGTGTAGGCAACAAAAACAAAAATAAATAAATGGGACATATTAGGCAAATAGATTTTTGCAAAAATATGGCAAAAACCACAATTACTTTTGTATCAACCTAATAATTAAACTAAAAAGTTTCTACAAAACAAAATAAGTTATCAGCAAACAGACAACCCACAAAGTGGAAGAACGTATTTGCAAACTATGCATCCAAAAAAGGCACTCACACAAATCAGAAAGAAAAATACAAATAATGCCATCAAAAAGTGGGAAAAGGACATGAATAGACATTTCTCAAACGAAGATATATAAACAGCCAACAAACATATGAATAAATGTTCAATATTGCTAATCATCAGGCAAATGCAAATTTATGCCATGAGTTACCACCTTACTCCTGCAAGAATGGCCATAATTTAAAAGTCAGAAAACAATAGATGTTAGAGTGAATGTGGTGAAAAGGAACACTTTTATACTGTTGGTGGGAATGTAAATTAGTACAACCTCTATGGAAAACAGCATGGAAGTTCCTTAAAGAACTAAAAGTAGATCTACCATTCAATCCAGAAATCCCACTACTGGGTATCTACCCAGAGGAAAAAAAGTCATTACTTAACAAAGACACATGCCCATGCATGTTTATAGCAGCAGAATTTGCAATTGCAAAGGTATGAAACCAACCTAAGTGCCCATCGACCAATGAATGGACAAAGAAAATGTGATATATATGCACCGTGGAATACTACTCAGCCATAAGAAGGAACAAATAATGTATTTTGCAGCAACTTGGATGAGTTGGAGGCCATAATTCTATGTGAAGTAACTCAGGAATGGAAAACCAAATACTGTATGTTCTGACTTATAAGTGAGAGCTAAGCTATGAGAATACAAAGACATACAGAGTGATACAATGAACTTCGGGCACTTGGGCAGAGGGAGGTTGAGAGCGGGTGAGGGATAAATGATGATATACTGACTACAGCGTACACTGCTCAGGTGATGGGTGCACTAAAGTCTCAAAATTTATCACTATATCATTTATCCATGTAACCAAAAACCACTTTCACCCCAAAAGCTATTGAAATTAAAAACAAAGAAAACCCCCAAAAAAACGGATGCCATTGTAAACCTGGCAGATATGCACTATGTGTGTAGGGCTGGGAATTTGGGTGGTGAAGAAACAGCATCTGCTACATATAGTAAGTTATTAATTTGCTCAGATTTGCTGCATGGATTATGTATTTGGGCCTCACAGATGATTAAAGACCATAACTGCATGATTTGGCTCCTTTATTTTATTTAAAAAAATAGATCACCTTTGTACAGAAATTCTAATTAAGTTTATGGAAAAGATTGACTTCAATTATTTTCTAAGATTATTTGCAAAGGGATTTTAAAAACCTGATAGTAAAATGTCTCTTTTCTTAACTGGATCCTATCTTTACTTCCAGATAAACAATATTTAAGATAAAAGATGGTGCTGATTCCAACAATGAGTTTATCATAAAATGAAAACTACAGAAATACTTTCAATACATAGAGGCAGGCTCTCAGGGACAAATAAAACAGAAGAAAAAAAGTAACATATGTCACTAACATTGGGATATAAAGAGCATAAAGGAAAAATTAGTTAAAAATCTCTGCTGCCTCTGAGGCTGAGAGGCAAAAATTTTACTTGGAAAATATATTGATTTATTATGGCCTTTACATACATAAAACACATCAAATTTTTAGCTGTGAGCAATACTAGTTTCACCATTTATGCCCACATTTATTTTACATCATTGATTACATCCTAGGTATAGAAGTGGTCTTTGCTCTTTGTTGGCTATCAGAAGAAAAAAAAACATTTCCTGGGAAATTTATGAATGGTAAGGAGTAAAGTACCTTTTTCTTATTTTCAGCCTTGTAATGTGTGCCCTGAATATCTTAGAGACAATAGTGGAAAAAGAGGCTTTTTGTTCTTCAAATTGGGATACATTTTAGAAGTAAAGAGCAGTCTGTATGTTTTTTTTTTTTTTTGATTAATTTTTCTTCCAAAACAATTTCTTCTTAGAATTAGTTTTCTGAATAATTTTTCAGTTCAACATCTGATTAAGTCATTGGTTTTCATTATCGCCATGCACTTTTTCCATATTTCTCAACATGAAATTTAACATTTCGTGTACTTGGTGGTTTGTTTTGTTCCTATATTTTGAGACAGGATTTTAAAACATTATTTTATAAAATACTTTAAAGTGTTACAAATGTTTGGAATTATTCATATCTTCGTAACTGAAGGGTTCTCACAAAACCTTTTCTATTTGCTAACTCAATTTTCTGTTTTGCATTGGGAGAATTAATTTTAAAAATAAAGGACTTCTGTCAGCACATTACAGGTACTTTTCCAAGTGTAGAATTGTACTTCTTTTCATTTCTTTCATCTAATTTCATGTTCCATGCAAGAAAGTCTAAAACAAACAAAAAAACACAAGAAACTCTCGAAACGAGAAATCCTCTCCAATAAACTTGGGTCTTCTTTTCTAAAGAAATTATTTCTCAGTATTTGTTATGGATTAAATGTTTGTCATCTTCTCCCCTGTTCATATTCTGAAACCCAAATCCCCAGTATAACTGTTTGGAGATAGGGCCTTTACAGAAGTAACTAAAGTTAAATGAAGTTGTAGGATAGCACTGTGATCCAATAAGATTAGTATCTTTATTGGAAGAAACATCAGAGAGCTTGCTCACTCTCTCCCCAGGCACAGGAACAGTGGAAAGGTCACTTGAACCAACAGAGAGGAGACAGACATCTGGAGTTCAAGCAGGGAGCCTTCCCCAGACACCAAGCCTGTTGGCATCTTGATCTTGAACTTCCAGTCTTCAGAACTGTGAAAAAATACATTTGTTTTTTAAGCCACTCAGTTTATGGTGTTTTGTTATGGCCATCTGAGCAGACTAAAACAGTACTATTTTAATTAAATATTTTATTGAGGTAAAATTTGTATGTAACAGAACACACAGATCATAAATGTGTGGTTCCATGAGTTCTGACATCACCCAAACAACAAGTGCAATATCATGTAACCATCACTCAAAGCAAGATGTAAAACCTTTTCAGCACCCCAACAAAAGACTTTCCTGAGCTTTCCATCAGAAAAAAAATGTTCGTGTACTTTTGCAAGTAGAATCATGTAGTATGTATCCTTTTGTGTCTCCTGTCTTTTATTAAATAAATGATCTTCAGATTTTTTTTTTTTTTTTTTTTGAGACGGAGTCTTGCTCTGTCACCCGGGCTGGAATGCAGTGGCATGATCTCGGCTCACTGCAAGCTCCACCTCCTGGGTTCACGCCATTCTCCTCCCTCAGCCTCCTGAGCTGCTGGGACTACAGGCGCCCACCACCACGACCTGCTAATTTTTTGTATATTTTTTTTTAAATTTATTTATTATTATTATACTTTAAGTTGTAGGGTACATGTGCATAACGTGCAGGTTTGTTACATATATATACTTGTGCCATGTTGGTGTGCTGCACCCATCAACTCGTCATTTACATCAGGCATAACTCCCAATGCAATCCCTCCCCCCTCCCCCGTCCCAATGATAGGCCCCAGTGTGTGATGTTCCCCTTCCCGAGTCCAAGTGATCTCATTGTTCAGTTCCCACCTATGAGTGAGAACATGCGGTGTTTGGTTTTCTGTTCTTGTGATAGCTTGCTAAGAATGATGGTTTCCAGCTGCATCCATGTCCCTACAAAGGACACAAACTCATCCTTTTTTATGGCTGCATAGTATTCCATGGTGTATATGTGCCACATTTTCTTAATCCAATCTGTCACTGATGGACATTTGGGTTGATTCCAAGTCTTTGCTATTGTGAATAGTGCTGCAATAAACATACGTGTGCATGTGTCTTTATAGCAGCATAATTTATAATCCTTTGGGTATATACCCAGTAATGGGATGGCTGGGTCGTATGGTACATCTAGTTCTAGATCCTTGAGGAATCGTCATACTGTTTTCCATAATGGTTGAACTAGTTTACAATCCCACCAACAGTGTAAAGAGACGGAGTTTCACCGTGTTGGCCAGGATGGTCTCGATCTCCTGACATTGTAATCCACCTGCCTTGGCCTCCCAAAGTGCTGGGATTACAGGCGTGAGCCCCCCGCCCAGATCTTTTAAATATTGTTTCATGTGTGAGTGGTTGTATTTCTTATTACTAAGTAGTATTCAACTCTACAAATATCAGTTCTGTTAATGGACATACAGGTTGCTTCCAGTTTTTGACTTACGTAGATATATAAATCTACTATGAACATTTTCATATAAATCTACTTCGATTTCCCTTGGCTAAACACACAGAAATGAAACAACATCATAGGTTTATATTCATGTTTAACTTTAAAAGAAGCTGCCATGCAGTTTGTTAGGGTGGTTTTGCCATTTTATACTTCTACTTGGAATGTATGAGAGTTCTAGTTACTACACATCCATGTCAACATTTGGTATTGTCAATTTTTAAATTTTACACATTCTGGTAAACTATACATCGTTGTGGTTTTAGTTTGAATTTTCCTGATGACAAATTGATG